AAGCAGAAAACTATACTATTGACTTAACATAAAAAAATAAATCGAAACAAAACTAAATTTCTATCATTCAAACAGATCAATAGTTAAGAAACAAGCACACCGGCATATTGAGCATAACCGAAATACAAACTTACATTAAGAGTTACCTTTTAAGGTACAACATACTGGACAACAACGAGCAAAAGGCAACGAGACTTCACCATTAAAATGATGACTCTAAAGAACTCACGTGAACAGAGAAATGAGCAAAAGACTCTATCAATGCCGAAACTCTTACTCTCTCTTCTTCTGAAACTTATTTCCCAATATTTGTATGTAAACATTTAAGCTAGTAGTTTACTGTATTTCCTTTTAAATTCCAGCCAATTCCTCCCAATATTTGTCTCCAACCTCAATAGTGAATAATAAGTGATTATATATAGAAGGGAAATTAGGCCTCAGAAATGTGGGAGAAATAGATGAATTCCAATAAGACAAGGGACCAAATCGAAATTCAAACTCCCAATTTTTTCACCATTAAAGGGAAACACCCTTTTCCTGAAGTTTTGCCCCATTCTAGAAGAGGAAAGGGGAGATGAACGCTCTTGATCGATTGAATGTCCTCACCATGCCATGCGGCTCAATCCCAAGGTGCGAGGGAAAAAAACGTGTGACTTTTCTGGTGCTCTTTGCTGCTGCTATAGTATGAATTGAAAGGTACATCAAGGAAGACAACAATGTAGACACAACGTACTGGCTGCAATGCTATTGTTTTCCATCTACTTGACACCGTGAACTCTCTTTGTGAACGTTTGAGGTGTCATTTGATTGTTGTTGTTGCTGCCGTTTCGATCGAACGTGAGGACGCTGTGAAGATGGCGTCTGTGAATTGTTGTTAACGTCTTATGGTAATAACGTTGTTGGGCTCCTCATTTGGAGTTGGAATGGGCTAAGTTGATTGGAATTACTGATGGGAGATGCGCTGGGATCGAGAATTTGGGTTGGTTACTGGCTGAATTTGCCCAAAACGTCAGCTATTGGAAATTGTTGAATTGAGGGAAATAAAAGGGAATGGGTCTTGGTAAAGGACAATGGGCTGAAGCAAATTAGGAAATGAGCGGCCCAAACTTTGGTCTTAAAATGGGTTTAAGGAAAAACTACATTTAGCTACAACTGCAACAAAAATTAATTAACAATTTAGCCAAATGGGTTAAAGGGGTAACTAAAGGGATTAATTTTAGAAGATTCAGCTAGAATTCGAATAGATCGGATTAATATAATTAATTTATGAGCTTTTAAATCTTAACGAGACAAAATAGTTAACTTAATTATAAACTAATTTATTCAAAATTTTATTCATAACTTATAATAAACTAATATAATAAAACATTTAAGTAAACAAAATCTTTTGAGACGACTCTTCAAATATTTTAGAATATACTAAATACATATATAATTGTAAAATACTATAAAAAATAGACTAGACTTACTTAAAGTAACCTCAAGAAATATTTGAATTTTATGAAACTAATTATTCAAATCGTTTGAAAATTGAGAAGCTCGAAAACTAATTATTATGGGGGAGGGTCAAAATTGGGTGTCAACAAATGTCCCTCATTTTACTCATATTAATGCAAGAAACTCGAGGAAAATGAAATTGACTAATCCAATTTTGATCGACCACGTCTTTGTCTTTTGGAAAAGAAATTTGGTACAGACTTTAGGAAATATGGCCGAACCACGAAAGTGGGTTTCCTACATATCTCAGGCTAAATTAGAATTCAGGTCACTTGTAGTTCGCTACGTTTAATTTTCACGCACAATTTTGAAAAAATTCAAAAGTCATCCTTATACTGAATTATGGAGGGATCGGAATGCTCGAAAATAAGATTTAAGAGCGAATGATGGAATACAGCCGAGTTTCAACACTGATGCTGCCTACATATCCCTCAACTTAGGGAATCAGGCTGCTTGTAGTTCGACTCAATCGGTTGAAAAGGGAATCTATTATGCAAGATAACCTTTGGTTCTGGAAAAGCAACAAAGTAAGTCGAGTATGAAAAAGAAGCTTGCAACCTCTTAGCCATGAATGTGGCACGTTTCAAACCCATAATTAAGAACTTACATGGACATGATTTCCAAAGCTCTTGGCACATTGTCACTTGGATTGGAAAGCTGCTTCCGGTGGAGACAAAAAATTTCAGGATGCGAAACTGAAACTAGGAAACCTAAAGAAAAACCCACATGCCTTCTGATAGGATGTGGTTTGATTGTGGTGCAAGTCACTCCTCTGCTCGCGTCTTAAGAGTTTGGTACTCCTCTTTGGAACATGTCCCAGTTCGCTGCTAAGAAAAAGTTCCACGTTGTGCTGCACCCTCTTTGATGTCGTCCGCACCTGTGGTTTGTTTTGGAGAATTCATCCTTCTGGATGCTCTAGACAAAGATTGAGATAAAAACTCATTAGCATAAAAAATGCGATTCAAATGGGAGACAATGTCCTTTACCGTGTTGACACTTGTTTTCCTTGAACATTTGATGTCAACACCATTGGGTTTGACGTAAAGCAAATAAAGTTTGTGTCTCATATTTGTAATATAATCTTCTATGTACTCTTCCTTTGATGTCAAAGTAATAAAATAGGCTGATGTAATATGTTGATAGTTCTCTTGATGCCGTTGTTGGTGGTTATCTTGATGTCGCTTTTGCAGAGAAAATGATGCAGCCGATGTTGATCTTCTTGTGATGGGTTAATCTTTTTCTTGCGATGCACGACTCTTTTCTTTTGATTCATGACTCTTTTCTTTTGATTCATGACTCTTTTCTCTTACGATGCTTGACTCTTTCTCTTGCGATGCTTGACTCTTTTCTCTTGTGATGTATGACTCCTTTCTCTCGCGGTGCATGACTTTCCTCTTGCTATGCATGACTTCTTCCACTTGCTATGCATGCCCTTCTTCCTCTTGCTATGCATGACTCTCTTCTCTTGCGAAGCATGGATCTTTCTCTTGCTATGTATGAATCCTCCTCTTGCGATGCATGACTTCTTCCTCTTCCTATGCATGCTCTTCTTCCTCTTGCTATGTATAACTCCTTTCTCTTGCTATTCATGACTCATTTCTCTTGCTAAGCATGACTTCTTTCTTTTGCTATGTATGACTTCTTTCTCTTGGCATGACTTCTTTCTGATGATTCCATCCCTAGTACCCAATAAAAATAATGCTTCAGCGGACAACATAGGTGATTTTCTGGGTATCTTCTGGGTGGCGGTATCATTTCAATTGACAATACAATAAAAATGACCCTTGGACTAGTGGTATCATCTCATTTGACAATATGATATAAATGACTCTTCGGGTAGTGGTATCATCTCATTCGACAATACGATATAAATGACTCTCCAAGTAGTGGTGTCATCTCATTCGACAATACGACATAAATGACTCTCTGGATAGTGGTATCATCTCATTCGACCATACAGTATAAATAACCTTCAGGGTAAGAAATATTATCATATATGATAATATAATGCAGATAAACGTCTTCCAGGTATCTTTAGTTGATGAAAATAATAATGTTGCTCTCTTCGTGGTTTTCTTTTGTTCCATCTCCGAACATAATTACAATGTTCAATATGAACCTCGCTTTGCTAAGAATTTGAATGAAATAATACTACTCATATTCCCAATTCTTTGGTATAAGAAACATAAAATATTTTTTGCATCCACAGAAAAAATTGTCATTTTTGGGGAGCTCCTCGCCTTTTTGACTTCTGCATATTCATTGAATAGAGGAATATGCTGATCTTGAGGCAAACTTATCCACATGAAAATTGTTAGTTTAAAAGATGAACCGATCTGTGACGATCTCTTCGGTTGTCTTCTCCTTGTCTTACTATCTCTGGTTATTTTTCCGATCTCCCACCTCTTGATAGATAAGACAAAATATTTTTACGTAAAAATAGTTAAAACATGAAAGAACAGTTTTTAAGGAAAATAGATTCTCCAAAGTAATATTTGGAAAAGGTCACTGCCAACTCTCATGTCACGTCAAACTTAGCTAATGTTTTTTAGGTCAATGCTTTGAGGTCTGTCTGATTACTTGTTGGGAAGTATTCAAAGTCGTTCTAAGATCTCGATGAACCTTATGAAATTTTTGAGGTCATCCTAAAAATTTCTATCCTAGTTGTCTTGGCTTAGCTCGAACTGTTGGTAAGTTAATCACGAAATTTTTTAGATCCTCTCAAAAATTCTGTCCCAATTGCAAATTTTAAAGTAACTTTAGCCTTGACTTGTTGGAGAAAATCTTCTTCTCGAGAATTATTGAGTCCATCTCAAAAATTCTGTCCCAGTTTCTATTGTAAAGAGAAATAGAAATCTTACGGGAGATATGACCGAACCCTTGTAGTGCCTACGTATCCCGTTGAGGCAGGAATCAGGTCAAACATAATTCCCTCCTCGAGGATTAACAGAAATAGGAAATTTACAAAGAAACCGATCGAGGCCGATATAGGCCGCCTACGTATCTCATTCTTGAGAATTCAGGTAGAACGTAGTTTAAATACAAGGAAATATATTAAAAGGGGACAAATGGGTGACTGGGGCCGACATAGGCCGCCTACGTAATCATTCTTGAGAATTCAAGTCAGACGTAGTTCATTACAAGAGGGATAAAATTCTAAACAAAGCGATTACATGCAAATGGGACGATTACAAGGAAATGACAGGAATACAAACTGAAACTTCACGCATAATATCTCTCGAAGCATCTGAGTTGATCGGTTTAGGCCATTCGGTGCCATCCATCTATGACAGGACTAAGGCACTTCTAGATAACACTTTGTGAACCATGTAGGGTCCATGCCAATTTGGTGCAAATTTCCCTTTTTATTCATCTTGGTGAGGGAAAATGTGTTTGAGAACGAACTAATGAATTTCAAATATTGTGGCTCGTACTCATTTGTGGAAAGCACGAATCATTCTCTGCTGATACAGTTGACCATGACAAGCAACAACCATTCTCTTCTAATCAATCAATGTTGATTGATCGATCCGTTTGCGAACCCATTCAACATCATTTAATTCAGCTTCCTGAATGATTCTCAACGAAGGTATTTCAACTTCTGTAGGTATAACTGCTTCTGTTCCATATAGTAATAAGTATGGAGTGGCTCCAATTGACGTTCTGACAGTTATTCTGTAACCCAATAAAACATAGGGCAACATCTCATGCCAACCTATGTTATTGTCAACCATTTTCCTCAAAATCTTTTTTATGTTCTTGTTGGCTGCTTCAACAACTCCATTCATTCGGGGACGATAAGCAGTTGAGTTTCGGTAGGTAATCTTGAATTGTTCACAAATCTCTCTCATCAAGTGACTATTGAGATTCGCTCTATTATCAGTAATGATGGATTCTCGTACTCCAAACCTACATATCAAATTATTGCGAACAAAATCAGCTACAACATTCTTGGTCACCGACTTATATGAAGCTACTTCCACCCACTTGGTAAAGTAGTCAATGGCAACCAAAATGAATCTGTGTCCATTAGAAGTGGCTGGCTCTATCGGACCGATGACATCCATGACCCAAGCTACAAAAAGCAAATGTGAACTTATGGCATTGAGTTCATGAGGTGGGACTCAAATCAAATCACCATGTTCTTGATATTTGTTACATTTCTGCATGAACTTGCAATAATAATGCTTCATAGTCATCCAAAAATAACCAGCGCGGAGGATCTTCTTCGCCAAAGTGAGTCCATTCATATGAGTACCACAAACTCCAGCATGTATATGTTCCAAAAGCTTCGCAGCTTCACTAACATCCACACAAATGAGAAAACCTAAATCTGGAGTCCTCCTATAAAGGATTTCCCCACTTGTAAATAAATTGTTAGACATACGGCGAATTGATTTCTTCTGGTTGAACGTTGCATTCTCAGGATAAGTCCCGATTTCCAAATACTTCTTGATGTCAAAATACCAAGGGAAACCATCTAGTTTTGCTTCAACATGTGAAGAATGGACAAGTTGCTTTTTTACCTCTATATTCAAGGGATCAATATAACTTGTATCTAGATGTTTAATCATTGAGGCAATGGTGGCAATAGCATCTTCCAACTCATTATGTGTCCTAGGAGTGTGTTTGAACCCAATCTTGCAAAATCTCTTACACAACTTTTGTATATACTGCACATACGGTGTGATCTTTGGGTTCTTCATGACCCATTATCCTTGAACCTAGTAAATCTGCAAGTCTGAATCTCAAATAACCAAATGCTCATGAAAATTCATGTCGATGGCCATCTTCAAACCAAGGATACAAGCTTCGTATTCTGCCATGTTGTTCGTGCAATCAAATTGGAGTTTAGCTGCCATAGGATAGTGTTGACTAGATTCTGATACTAAGAACACTCTGATACCTTTCCCTTGGTGATTCGCCGCTCCATAAAAAAACATTCTCCAACCAGTGTACGTTTCATATATATCTTCACCCACAAATGCTACTTCTTCATCGAGAAATTAAGTCTTGAGCGGTTCATAATCTTCATCAATCGGATTCTCCGCAAGATGATCAACTAAGGCTTGTGCTTTTATCGCTTTCTGAGTCACATACACAATGTCAAATTCACTAAAAAGCATTCGCTATTTAGCCAATTTCTTGTTCGGCATTGCTTTCTGGAAAATGTACTTCAATGGGTCCATCCTGGAAATAAGGTATGTGCTATAAGAAGACAAATAATGTATCAACTTTTGAGCAATCCAAGTTAAAGCACAACAAGTCCTCTTCAAAAGAGTGTAACGAGCCTCATATGGAGTGAATTTCTTGCTGAAGTAATAGATGACTCGCTCCTTCTTCCCAGTTTCATCATGTTGACCAAGCACGTATCCATATAAGTTATCCGAGACAGACATATATAGCAATAATGTACTCCGTTCTCGTGGAGGAACCAACACTGACGGATTGGACAAATAATTCTTGATGGCATCAAAAGTAGTTTGACATTCTGCAGTCCACTTTGTCAAGGCATCTTTTTTTAATAACTTGAAGATGGGCTCACACACCGCAGTGGATTGGGCTATGAATCGACTGATGTAGTGCAACCTTCCTAGAAAACTCATCAATTTCTTCTTGGTCTTCAGAGGATGTAATTCTTGGATCGCCTTGATCTTGGAAGGGTCAAGCTCAATGCCCCTCCTGCTGACTATAAATCCAAATAGCTTTCCAGCTAGCACTCCAAAAGCACATTTAGCAGGATTTAACTTCAAATTGTATTGACGCAGGCGATCAAATAATTTCCTTAAGTGAGTCAAGTATTTCGAACTCTCGCGGGACTTGATTATGACATTATCTACATACACCTCAATCTCCTTATGAATCATATCATGAAAAATGGTTGTCATAGCCTTCATATAAGCAACCCCGACATTCTTGAGATCAAAAGGCATCACCCGATAGTGATATACACCCTAAGGCATAATGAAGGTTGTCTTTTCTGCATCTTCTTCATCCATTACGATCTAGTGATAGCCCGCATAACAATCCATAAATGACTGCATCTCATGCTTGGCACAATTATCAATGAGAATGTGAATGTTTGGTAATGGAAAATTATTTCTTGGGCTTGCTTGGTTGAGATCTCTGTAATCAACGCAAATTCTGATCTTTCCGTCTTTCTTGGCAATCGGAACAACGTTGGCTAACCAAGTCGGATATTGCGTTACTTCCACTACTTGAGACTCGATCTGTTTGGTAATCTCCTCTTTGATCTTTAAACTCAACTCTAGCTTGAACTTCCGAGTCTTTTGTTTTGCTGGATTGAATTATGGATTAATCGGCAACTTGTGGGACACCATATTCGTACTCAGCCCTGCATATCTCTGTAAGACCAGGCAAATACATCAATGTATTCTCTAAGCAAACGAACCAAGTCCCTTCTTTGAGCTTCAGTCAGATGGACATTGATTCTTACTTCTTTAAAACATTCCTCATCTTCGAGACTCACAGTTTCGATTTCCTCTAAATTTGGCTTGTGTAGATTCTTGAATTTTTGAAACAGTTCAGAAACATGTTCGGGTACCTCATTTTCCTCTTCGTATTTCTCGCATTCATCATCACCTACCTCATTTCATTCACTCGGTTCATGACATGACATGAGATTGGCAGGTTTTAAATTAATATTTACTGAAATCAGAAACAAACAAAGTCAGGAAAGTAAAATATAAATAGATTAGTCAAAAAAAATTCGATAAAAGAGGCTTTCATTTAAATTGAAAAACAAGCACAAACTTTGTCTATGGCTAAGGGTCGTTTCACTTTTTTAAACATCATGGGGGAATTTAAAAGCTCAAACAAATAAAAATTGCATATAGGGTGGGTTTCAGGCCTCTTCCGGACTACCACCAATTTTAAAAACAAACATAAACACATGTCTTTTCTACCAAGCTGCACGGGAATCAGGAGCGGTGTCGAAGTCCAATTCCGCAACTGCGCCTCTGGCTCAGCATCACGAATGCCTGATGTCCCAGCCTCTTCCTTGATAACCGCATCAATCTCCTCAAAAAGGCCCCAAATTTCTTCCTTTAGACCACCATCGTCGACATACTCTCGTACTAGATATGATTGGTAAAAATATGGAATTCGCCTGGCCAATGCTTGATCAACACTCTTGTTCTTCATCTCTGCTTCATCATTTGTGTGGACATGCCCCAAACCAAACTTTGATCCTTTGGTGAGAATTTGGATAGGCTCGACGGTTCCTTGAAAATGCTTTCCCACTCCAAAACCTGGTTTGAAACTGCTTCGGAGCATAACAGTAGCAATAATCTTATACACAGAAGGCATAGGGGGCTATGGAGCCAAATCAGCACCGGTGGCATTTACCAACTCCACTATGTAGAAATCACAACCTCGGGAGACCTCATCGACGATCGACACATACCAATTAGAATGGCTCCCTTCACCACGAATGACCTATTCCTGGTCCTTCCAAACAAATTTCATTAGTTGGTGAAGGGTAGAAGGCACAACCCTAGCCATGTGGATAAACGGTCTTCCCAAAAGCAAATTGTAACTGGTATTGATATCCAATACCTGGAACTCCACGTTAAACTCTGCAGGACTATCTGACCCAAGTTTACTACCCCTATCATGTCTCTCTAGAACCCATGTTTTCTATGTTTTTATGATTGAAAGTGGGTTTTGACATCCATAGGTAAAGTATGGACTTATGCATTATTTATGAAATCTATGCCAATGTTTTAAGGGTTCTTTAAGAGTAAAGTACCAATGATGATGTTGTGTTGTGAAAATATATTCTCACTAAAACACATACTAGCATAATGCGAAAGGTTTTCTCACATAGAAAAGATTCTTAGGTTGAAAGGCTTCCTCACCTAATTGAATCAAAGACAAGGAGCTTTCTTCCTGAAACTAGCTTAAATTCGTTGTCCAGGGGCAGCTTTTCATGAGTAATGAAGTCAAGTAAGAAGTGACTATTCCATTGGAATTTATGCTTAGCATCGAGTAAATATTGATAGTGAGATAGAAGCTCCCCCATAGTAGAGATCGGGTTTCAAAAGTAATCTCATGAGATGGGAGCTCTCTCATAGAAGAGGTTAGGTTTCTAGCAGTAATCTCCTCATTCTGTAACTATGTGCCTCCATAGATTGATTAGCTAGTGGATCCAATTAAACTAGAAGTACAAGGTTCTACCTTCGGCAAGTAGGACACCACTTTTCGATGTGGGGTAGACACTAGATTCCATGTTATAGCTCACACGATCTCAATTCCGACTATGGCTAATTCCCCACAAGTAAGAATGAACTAAGGTTACTTCAAGAAGTATCGCATATGAGTTCAACGCTTTTATAGATGAAGATAACTTGCATTGACCATGATTTATGATTTATGTTTTTATAACTCTTCCGTACTATGTTTTAGCTTGGTCAATTGCATGTGATGAACTGAATTGTCCTTTTTAGCATGATTTAAATGTTTTGTGTGTGGTTATCATATTTGGTACAATGTTTTGTACTAACACATGCTCTTGCCTACATACTTTTGGCTATCATATTTGGTGCTCAGTTTCGTGGCTAGTTGGTGATTTCAATTATTCTGAGCTTTTGTGAGTTCTCATGCTTTAAGGACGGACTCCTATAGTTTAGCCCTTTCATGTATTTCTCTTTTGGACATAACGTATGGGCTGGGCCCAATTTCATTCTATTGTATTAGATGTCTATGATGAGACAATAAATTAGACTTTTGCTTTTCGTTTTATTAAATGTGTTGGACTTGAACTGTTTTACTCTTATTGTTCTATTTCTTATATTATAAGAGCTAAGTGTCTTGTATGGAGTTCTTCGGGGTTCTATGCAGTATGTTACATCTTGGGGGTACCCTTGGGTCGTGAGAAACTTGGTAATCAGAGAACAAGGTTTAAAGTGGTCCTAAGATTTCTCATAAGCCACGTCTAGTAGAGTCTGGTTCATGAGTGTGAAGCGCGTCATATTTATGAATGAGAGGCTAAAAGATGATTAGGAAACTCCACTTCTATCATTACTCTTAAGTCATGTGATAGAGTTTAACTCTATAAGGTCTCTCTTCTAATTCTTATCCTATGTTCTTCAAGATATGGCTACCCGAAGAGCTTATGCTAGAAAGAATGTGAGGGAGAATGTGGAACAAGAAGCACCTTGATGAGTCCATAAATTGGTCTCATTTAGGGCAATATTTTGATATAATTAGTGTCCTCAAATGCATATTTTATCTCAATATCTGATGAAAACCGTTAAGTTTCAAGACTTTGGATTTTGAGGTAAAGCATGGACACAATTAAGCAAAAAGGAACAAAGAAAGCTGAAAGAATGGAGAAATGAAGATCTGCGGATCACCGAAGCCATTCGGCGTGTCGCCAAATGATCTCACCTCGCCTTTAGTTCCACTGTGTTGAGCGCTGAAAGAAAAGATCAAATCGGTGGTGAAAAGGAGTCGTCGAGGTGTTGCCGAGCAGTTCCGCGAAGCAGTACTATGTCGCACAATGATCCAAAACATGATGATGCTGAAGCAAATAGCAATACGGCGATGAAACCTACCAAAGGGTGGATCGCCGAGTTGATCGGTGATCTCGACTAACAACGCCGAATGATCTGCTGTAGCACAAATTTTTTAAAACTATAAATATTCATTGAGAGTTGTAGCTTAATATCAGATTTTTAATATA